ATAATTAATAATTTTAGTATTATATTGGAAGGAATTAGGTTTATTAAAATAAATTACTTACTCCATCTAATTAAACCTTCACCATGACCTTTAGCTAATCTCATCCAAGCAAAAAGGAATAAAACACAGAAAATAATTGTAAATGGTAAAATAACAAAGAGTAAACCCATAATTTCACCGCTTGAGTCAATGTATGAATGTGAATCGTAATATGGGGTGATTGATTTACTGTATGCTGAGATTGTAATAACTAATAATAAGGCTAAATGAGCCAAAAATGCAATACCAAATGGCAAATCTCTATATGGTGGTTGCATTGGAAACTTTTCATATTCATCTTCTGGACCATACATTCCTTGTGATGGTGGTTGTTGGCCACCACCCCCACCCATTAATGAATCTTGATCATGATGATATTGTGGTTGTGGTTGTTGTTGGGGTGGTAATGGCATTGCATAATGAGGTTGTTGTTGTTGTTGTTGGTATGATTGCTCTACTGGTTGATTGAATTGTGGTTGGTATTGTTGTTGGTATTGGTATTGTTGTGGTTGTTGATACTGTGGTTGTTGTTGTGGTGGTGGATAGTATTGACCATATGGCTGTTGGCCATATGGTTGTTGTTGTTGTTGTTGTTGTGATTGTGGGGATTGTGATTGATCCTCTGTACCCATCTTTATTTATTATTATTTATAAAAAAAAAAATAAAAAAAAACCAGAGTTATGTGGAAATAAATTAAATTTTATTTTTTTCTAAAAATTTAAGCTTTTTTTTTTTATTTTTTTTGAAAAATAATTTCTCGTTTCTTGGATTTATAAATATTATAATTATTTATATTATTTATGTTTATTTATGTTTTAAATCTTCCTACACAAATAATATTAATTGAAAATATATTTAAATTATAAATAAATTGCAATATGAATATATAAAAAAAAAATTAATAATATTTAATTTAAAAAATTATAATTTAATTTAAAAAAAAAAAAATTTTATTGGTATTTTAATTATTTTAAAAAATTAAATAGGTTTGGGATTATATCCTTATAATAATAAAGAAAATAAAAAATAATAATAATAAAAAAAAAAAATAATAATAAAAAAAAAATTAATTTAATAAAAAAATTAAATAAAAAATTAAATAAAAAAAAATAAAATAAAAAACAATGTTGCAACATTGGCAATGTTATAATTATTGTACCTTTTTATTCAAGTATCAATGAAAAACTTGAATATTTAATCATATTACATATTGTTATTTCTACTTTTTATTTTGTATTATTGATATATTTATTTGTATTATTGATATATTTATTTTGTATTATTGATATATTTTTTTTTTTTTTTTTTTTTTTTTTATTTTTTATTTTTTATTTTTTATTTTTTATTTTTTATTTTTTAAATTTTAGTTTTTCTTAAAAATTTTTTATTTTATTCCTTAAATTATTAAATTTTATGATCAAAATTTTTTATTTTAAAAAAAAAAAAAAAAAATGGATTTAATTAATTAATTTAATACAATAAATTAATTTAAGGATCAATATTGATAATATTAACAATAATAATATGAATAATAATAATAGCAATAAAGAAGAAGAGAAATATTATAAAGAAAATGAAAAAGAATTTCAAAAAGCATTAGAAAGAGCAGTGCCTATAGGAAAAGGATTAAAACATTTACTTACACACGAAAGAGAATTAATGGAATCAGGAGAATTGAAAAATATAACACATAAAGGAAGTAGTAGTGTATGGTTAGAAGCAAGTTCATCAATTGCACCACCAGGTATGGTTAATGTTTATAGACCAATGGGTGACATAGAAGTTCAATATTTAGTGGAAAATAAATTACTACCAGATACACAACCCTACCAAGCAATTATTGAAGGTTCATGTGGTCGAGCATATGCAAATAAATACTTGACTGGTAAAAAATGGACCGATACCAATCCATCAACAGTTGTAGAATTTACATGTCCAATTGATTTAATTGAAAAAATCAAATCAATTCAAACTAAAATAGAAGATGGTGCAATTAGTATGGGATTAGGTAATAAAGCTGGAAACACTTTACACTATTTTAACGACTCTTTAAGAGACTCTAAATCCACTTTTAGAATTGTTAAAGTTAAAAGACAAATACCCCAAAAATAAAATAAAATATTCATCAAAATTACACTGATTTAAAACATTTTCCCTCTTTTTGATTTCATCCTTTCATTTTTATAATTTTGCGCTTAAAAATTCCCAAAAAATTTAAAATTTTTTTTTAAATTTTTTCATTTAATTTTTTTTTTTTAAAAATTATTCATATAAACCCACACACATTCATATATATATATTTATTGTAAAATTATAGTCATTAGTTTATAAATTATAATAACGTAATTATTATTTTTAAATTATATATTTATAAAATGCAATCTTCAATGTGGTAAATATCAAATTTAATAACAAATAACCATAATTTTAAAAAAAAATAATTAATAGTTTAATTTATTTTAATTTACACCTATGGAATTAATAGGAGTTTTTTACAAAAAAAAGAAGGTGGTGAAATTGATAACGTTCAAAAGAAAATAAATGAAGCTTCAAAAATCAACGAGGTTAAAACTAAAAAGCCAGCAAGTAATAGCAATGTTAAATCTGTAGATAAAGAAAATGAAACTAAAAAGAAGGAATCAAAGAAATCATCAAAGAAAAAAGATAATGATGAAACTGAAAAACAAGAGGAAGATAGTAGTATTGATAGTGAAGAAGAGGAAGAAAAAGAAGCTAAAAAATCAAAATCAAAATCAACTAAATCGACCAAATCGACCAAATCGACTAAATCAAATAAATCAAATAAATCAAATAAAAAAACTAAAACTGAAAATGAAAATGAAGATGCTGGGGATGACGTGGCTGAAAATGAAGAAATAGAATTGGATGAAAATGAAAATGAAAAAAAGAAGAGTAGTAAAAAGAAATCTAACAAAAAAGAAGAGGCAAGTGAAAATAAATCAAATCTTAAAAGGTTAAAGAGAAAAACTATAGATGAAGAAGAAGAAGAAGAAAATAAAGGTGATGACTTAGATGATTTATTAGACGATGAACCAGCCCAACCAACTAAAGAAAAAGAAAGTAAATCCGCCGAGCCAACTGTTGAAAAAACTAAAGAGATTGATATCAATGATTTATTTAAAAAAGCAGCAGAGTATAGTAAAACCAGTAATAAAAATAATAGTAGCGGTGGTAATAATAAAAAACAAAAAACTCAACATAAACCACAATCACCTGTTAAAAAAACATCACCAGTTACAACCCCCACATCACCGGTTAAAAATAAAGAAATAACAACTGCAACCACAACAACCACAATAACCACAACCACAACCACAACAAATAGTACTATATCACCAAAAAAAGAAGAAAAGAAACTTGATGATAAGAAAAAAGATGATGAAAATGAAGAAGATGAAATCCAAGAAGCCATTGAAGAAGAAGAGGAGTTGGTAGATGATGAAATTGAAGAGGAGGAGGAATACGAGGAAGAAAGCGATGGTGAAGAAGAAGAAGAAGGTTCAAAATCAACAACAACAACCAATAAAACTAAATTTGTTAAAAAGGTACCAATTTCAAAAAAGAAAGGTACCGCCAAAACCATTCAAATCGATCTTAAAAATATTGCCAAATATCATCCAATTGATGACGCTATGTGGAAAAAAGGTGATTCATTGCCATATATGGCGTTGGCTAAAACATTTGAAACCATTGAATCCTATTCAAGTAGACTGGTTATTATTGAACACTTAACAAATCTTTTTAGATCAATTATGTTACTCTCTCCAAAAGATTTAGTAATGACAATTTATTTATCAATTAACAAGATTGGTCCATCATATGAAGCTAAAGAATTGGGTATTGGTGATCATATTTTAATTAAATCTGTTGCAGAGTCTACAGGTCGTACAGTGGATGCCATCAAACAAGAATTGGTAGAAGTTGGTGATTTAGGTATTATTGCACAAAATGCTAGAATGACACAACCATTAATGTTTTCCCCTCCACCTCTTACCATCGCATCAGTATTTAAAACATTCCAACAAATTGCAGATACATCTGGTACCGGTACTGGTAGTCAAAAAAAGAAAATGGATCAAATTAAAAAACTTTTAATTGCATGTAAAGATTGCGAATCATTGTACATCATTCGTTCGCTTCAAGGTAAACTTAGAATTGGTTTAGCAGAGCGTTCCGTATTAATGGCATTGGCCAAAGCTGTTTTAGTTACTCCTCCATCAACTGAATTCCCACCAAAAGTTATAGACATTAGAAAAAATATGAGACCAGAAGAATTTGAAGAGAAATATTCAAATACTGTCGCCAAAGTTACTCGTGCCTACAGTCAATTACCAAATTACGATTTATTTGTGCCACATTTATGTGAAAAAGACGGTATCGATAATATATTAAAAACCTGTTCACTCAATGTCGGTATTCCAGTTAAACCAATGTTAGCCCAGCCAACTACAGGTATTACTCAAATGCTCGATCGTTTTACTGATATGGAATTTACTTGTGAATTCAAATATGATGGTGAAAGAGCCCAAATTCATTATTTAGAAGATGGATCAGTACATATCTACACAAGAAATCTTGAAGATTACACCGGCAAATATCCAGATATCGCTGCAAATGTAAAGAAATTTATTGGTCCAAATGTAAAATCATTCATTTTGGATTGCGAAGCCGTTGCATTTGATAAAGCCACTAAAAAGATTCTTTCTTTCCAAGTTCTCTCAACTAGAGCTAGAAAGAGTGTACAATTAGATCAAATTAAAGTACCAGTTTGTGTGTTTGCCTTCGACTTACTTTTCCTCAATGGTAAAAATCTCATCAACGAACCATTCTATAAACGTCGTGAAGTTATGGTAGAAAACTTTGTACCATCCGATGGTGTGTTTTCATTTGCCAAATATGCCAATATTTCTGATGTCAATGATATTCAATCATATCTTGAAGAAGCTGTAGAAGGTAATTGTGAAGGTCTTATGGTTAAAACACTCAAAGAGAAATCAATTTACGAACCATCCCGTCGTTCATATAACTGGCTTAAAATCAAAAAAGATTACATGCAAGGTATGACCGATAGTTTAGATTTAGTTCCAATTGGAGCATGGTATGGTAAAGGTAAAAGAACAGGTACATATGGGGCATATTTATTAGCATGTTACGATGAAGACAATGAAGAATTCCAAACACTTTGTAAAATTGGTACAGGTTTTAGCGATAAAGATTTATCTTCATTTACAGAGCAATTAAAGCCACATGTTATTAATCAACCAAGAAATATGTTCCGTATATCTGACTCTATTAAACCAGATGTTTGGTTATCACCATCACAAGTTTGGGAAGTTTTAGCTGCTGATCTTTCAATTTCCCCAGTTCACACTGCTGCATATGGCAATTTAGAATCAAACAAAGGTATAGCTCTTCGTTTCCCACGTTTCATTAGAACTAGAGAAGATAAATCACCTGAAGATGCAACATCATCTGAACAAGTTGTTTTAATGTATCAAAATCAAAAAATCAATAATCATAATTCAGAATCAAAACCACAAAAAGATGAAGATTATTAATTAATAAATGATAATTAATAATTAATAATTGAAATAATAACAATTAAATTTTTTTTATTAATATTTAAATAACTATTAATTTATTTATTTAAAATTAATAATTAATAATTTCATATAAAAACTAAAAAATAAAAATTTTTTATAAATCTAATTTTTTTTTATTTTTGTATCAATATTTATTAAATTAAAGTTAACATGAAATAAAACAAAAATCAACATTAAAAATTCCAAATAAAGAAAATTATGACAACGGTGTATTTTCTTAATTTAATATTATATTTATTTATTTTTTTTTTTTTTTTTTTTTTTATTTTTTTTTATTTTTTTTTTTTAATTTTTATTTTTTTTTTTCATTTTTTTTTATTTTTTAAATTTTGATGAAAACACAAAACAATTAATATATATAAATAAGTCATGTCAGATCTCGATGATTTATTAAATAGTAAGAAGATAAATAATAATAAATAATAGTTTATATTTATTCAATATTGTATATTTTGTTTTATTTTTTATCATTATTAAATCAACATTTTACTAACCTCAGTTATTTATCTAGGTGCTCTGGATGAGCTTGAAACTCAAGAAAAAGAATCACCACCTGTACCACCAAAACTAACTACAGCGGTACCAACATTAACTACCACCACAACAACAACTACAACAACAACTTCAACAACCACTTCAAATAATGTACAGAATAATAATAATAATAATAACAATAATGTTAAAGATAATATAAATTTAAATGGTATGATGGATATGTTTAAAAATTTACTAGATGAGGATACACTAAAACAACTTAATCAAGATTTTGATAAAGGAATTAAAGAAGAGGATTTAACAGAAGAAGATAAAAAAAATATTGATGATTGGGCTCAAAAACTATCAGGTGTATTTAATACAGAAGAATTAAACCAATACTTTGAAAATATTTCACAGAATAGTGAGTTTGATACAAAGGATAACAATTTAGAAGGTGGAATCGGTATTGATAAATTTGAAAGCAACATCAGCGAAACCTTAAAGAATTTAGCAGATAACGCCTCAAACAAAGCACCAGATGCTGGTGGTTTAGAAGAAATATTATCAGAGCTTTCAAAGATGCTTGAAAATCAAGGTGGTTTCGAGGGAATTGGTGGTGATGATAAAATCAATGATATTTTTGAAGAATCAATGGAATATATGGCTAAACATGTAAGTTTTATTTTATTTATATTATTGTTTACTTTTATACTAACCTTTTTAATTATTATTATTATTATTATTTTTAACTTAGTACCCACAATGGATTGAAGATAATAAAGATAAATATTCAGCAGAAGAAATTGAAAAGTTTAAACAACAATCAGAATTATTTACAATGTTAATCTCTAAAGAAGGTGAACAACTTGATGAAAATCTTTATACTAAAATGGCAGATTTGGGTAACTTACCCGAAGCTTTTTGTGACGAGTTTTTAAACAAATACGAGACTCAAATTGATAAAGAAAAAATAGAACAAAAAAAAACCGATTAAAATTTTAATATAAAATAAAATTAATAAATAAATAAAAACAATAAATATATTATTATATATATAATGTGTTTTGATGTTTTATAAATACAAATCATTTATTTTTTATTATTACTTTTTTTTCTTGAGAGGCAATTTCTATTGAGCATTATTTATACGACTTATTTGATCAAGAACATTAAATCTTGTTAGAGATGGTGGTATTGTTATCGGTTTTTTTGTAGGAACAATTTTATTTAGTTGCTCTTCAAATTTATCTTTACCAACTAAATCTATTTGTCTTTGGAACATTTTGCAGGCTTCTTCATACATTATAATATCCATCCAATTCTTTTTTTTAATTTTATCTATTACAGACTGATCTACATCTAATTTTCTACCTACATTTTGTTTTTCTTGAACTTTGGGATTATCTAAACCAGTAAAGAATTTTAATAATGCTAAAGTTTCTGGCATTTTTTCGGTAAGACCTACAAATTTCATTGTACGTAAATGGTATAATGCCATATTAAAAGTTTCGTTGGTCATTAAAGGATCCTCGTGGTGGATACCTGACAATGCTCTAGTTTGTTCATTGTTTGCTCTTGGTGATAACTCAATCCACTCTTCTAATGTGTTCTTTGCTGCAATATCGTGCTCAGCATCATATGCTGTATTTCTGTGATAATAGTAATGAGAAATAACTCTATCTACTGGATCTCTTAACACTGTTAAATAGCTATGTGTACTTTTTAATGGTTCATCATAATCATTATGAATACCATATTCAAAATGACCCAAAATAAAATTGTAAGCACCTTGAATCTTTTTATGGTCAGTTGGATCTTTAAAAAATTAAAAATTAATATATTTAAACAAATAATAAACATATTCTATATAATACTTACTTGGGAAAATCCATTGTCTTAAAGTTCCTTGGTTCTTAAAGAATTTAGAAAAATGAGAGTACATTGTGTGACCGCCAGTTTTAGCAATATGTAGGAATATATATGGTGTAGTCAATAAAGGTTTTGATGCATTTAATGGGAGCTGCAATCTTGGTGGATCAATGTTGAAATTATTAGCTTTAGCAAATTCAGTAAAGAATTTTTGTTGATTATATCTTTCATAATAATCTTTACACACCTTGGCTTTAATTTTTTTAATTCTTAAGGGGAAATATTTTTCGGTATAGTTCTTATTATATATGGTTAATTGATCAACGTTTAAATTGGGCTCTATATTAAATGTTTTGTTTACATTGGCAATCTCCATTTCCCAATGCTCCATTGTTGGGTAATGAAAATTACTTTGATTTACCTCTGGTAACTCGATGCCAAATACATCGTATTTCCCTTTATCCATATACTGAGTATTCTTGTAATCTTCATATTGATAGTAATATTGGTATGTTAAAAAATAATTTAATAATGATCTTTCATCTTTGAACTTTAAGTTATTACTATTTGAAAATTTTACAATAATTTGTTCCCCGCTATTTAGTATTTGATTGTTTAATGTTAATTGTGGCTCATTGGTGTCCTGATTGTTTTGTATATTTTGAATATTACCACAGACTTCTTTAACAACCTCTTTAATAATTTCTTTTTCCATTACAATTACTTTTTTATTTGGTCTAAAATTACTTTCAGGGAAAATCTCTTCACCTTCCTCATCATTTCTTAAATAATTAACATTATTATTTATAATATTTTTATTATTTTTATCATTTTCATTATTATCTATATTATCTTTATTATCTATATTATTATTATTATTATTATTATTATTATCTATATTATTATTATTATTATTATTATTATTATTATTATTATTATTATTATTATTATTATTATTATTATTATTATTATTATTGTTATTATTATTATTATTATTATTGTTATTGTTATTATTGTTATAATATATATTATTATAATAACCTTTGTCCAAAGTTATAAGTATGTATGTGGACATTATACCAACAACGGTAATAAAAGTTAAAATTAATATTTTTAACTTTTTATTATTCATTTTTAACTACACAAAAAAAAACATCTGTGTTCTATCTACTTTATAAAATCAAATTATTTATTTAAATATATTTTTCGTTTTTATTTTAGTTTATTTCTATTATTTTCACAAAATTAAAAAAAAACTTTATTATGCTAACTTTTCTTTTTTTTTTTTTTTTTCTAGTAAACCTCGGTACCGCAAATATTCTAAAAAAAGAAAATTCAGCATGCACAAGTATTTTAAAATTCATTTAAAAATTTTTTTTTTTTTTTTTTAATTTTTTTTTATTTTATTTTTATAAATTTTTTCATTTTTGTTAATGTCAAAATAAAATAAAAGTGACACCTGTGCTTTTACAAACAAAAAAAAGGTTTTTTTGTTGATGGTTTGGAATTTACAACGTTTGCGAAAATACTTTAAGATGCCCAAAATTAGAAAAAAAAAATTAAAAAGTAAAATTAAACAAATAAAATAAAATAATAATTAGATATTCTCAATAATTATAAAAATTAATAAAAAAAAAAAAAAAAAAAAAAAAAATTTCTAAAATAAAATAAAAATTCTAAACTTATTTTATAATAAATAATAAATAAAATATAAATAATAAATATTTAAAAAATAAATAAAATTGAAAAAAAAGAAATTTTTTATAACGTTTTTTTTTATAATAATACAATGGTTTATTCTATAAAATTATTTAAATTATTGGTTACAGTATTCGTATTATTAATAATAAATTTTATTATTATTATCCATAATATTTTTAATATTATTCATATTTATATTTAAATTGAAATTATTATTATCAATATTGTTTGGAGCTCAGGCAGAATTTGGACCCATTTTTTTTAATTGACCTTCCTAA